CTGGCTCTCAGTTTTCTCCCAGAGCAGACATCACAGGCCACATCTTCAGGTCCAGCATAGCAGTGATCAGCAGGAGCATCTTGGAGTCCAGTCTTCTTCAGGTCTTCTAATATTTCTGCTAACATGGTGTTTTTCTCCAGGACAGGCCTCGGTATGAAGATTTTCCTGCATTGAGGGCAGCTGTAAATTCCCCTCTGATCTTCCACATCAAAGTGGGCTTTAATGCAGCTCATGCAGTAGCTGTGTCCACAGGGAATAGTCACCGGATCCTTCAGGAGATCCAAACAGATCGAACAGCAGAATTTCTGTCGGTCCAGTTGATTTCCCTGCTGTGCCATTTCTCCTCTTCACAGTAACGTCTGAATATTTCCTGTTTCTCTGAGCAGAAACAATCTCACCTGAACCAGGAAACAAGGAGTGTCAGCAGCGTCATGTTACAGCTTGCTGCTCACGCCCTTCTGAAACATGTGACCGGAGTCCAAACAAGCAGGGTGTGTTCTGCAGAGAGAGACACGTCATCTTACTGCTATAAAGAAAAAACCTGTTCTGTCTCAGCTGTGTTATGAGTGCAGGCTTAGAACTGGCAGACTTCAGATTCTTTTCACGGCCTCCATGTCTCCTTGATGCCACTCCCCTACTGCCCCACCTACACTATGAAAGGGCTCATTTGCTGCTTAACTCATTGGCTGCCAAAGACGTCTATAGACGTCAATTCAAATACAACCGTTGACTGCCAAAGACGTCTATAGACGTCTTTTATATTTTTCAATGAGAGTGGCTGGGGGACGATCTGTTAAAGCTTGTCCGTAAATATCAGGCTTCTAGACAGAGTATGTACTAACAAATTGACCCTCTAGGTGGCAGTGCCACTTTTGATGGGAGATGAGCATAGACTGTAGGCAAATTAGAAAAAGGGAACGGTTCTATGAGAGAACATGTCGCCGGTGAGACGCAAGTCGAGGAAGAACGGAATAACGTAGAAACAATTTTTTTTTCCTGATGAAAGAAGAGAGTCTACTCTTTCTTTTGGTGTGTTTGGTGTTTACATAGTCATAGCACAAACTATTCTGTGGTTCTTGAATAATCAGTCAAAATGCTCAAAAAACTCTGGCAGTATGGGACTCTCTGTTCGGAAAATGGCTGGCAGTCAATGAGTTAATAACCCTGATCTAAACCTGTAGCTGCAGTGAGGTGCATGCATGTGTCTAATAGAAGGAAATATGTTTAGGAAAATAGTGAAACAGTTCCCAATGGAATCGGGAACTGGGTGCATGTAGGAAAATCTATAAAATGTGTAAGTATGGAACAGTCATTGTATGTAAATGTGGTTTAATAACATCATGTTCTGTATTCATTTAATTCATCACAATCCTTTAATCCTAAAAAAACTGAAAGAAAATCAAAAGATTTATCGTGTCCTATTAAAAACGTCCTATTAAAACAGTGCAGATAATTATAACAGAAATAGTTAAAAATGTATTTACTCTGCCACTTTATTAGCAAAAAAAATATCCTCCACATCAAAGTTTTTCTCTTATTATCATCATTCTGCATGCTTTTTTACATTTAAGTACTTTGACATACTTCAACTTCTTTAAACAATTAAGGTATACATTTGTTCCGTTTCTTTTGCACATTGTGGCTGTGTCTTTTGGTGTTGAAACCTTTTAAACTTTTTGAATTATTCAACTTTCTCTGACTTTTTCCTCTCATTGAAAATGAATGGTGGAGCCTTCAAATTCTTAAAAACGTTTGACCTACTTCAACGCCAACTATTTCAGTTTACTTTAAAGTAGAAGCACCTTTCAACTTTTAAATGGGTCTCAGGGCATTGGGCTATTACCAGTTGTCTTTTCTCTTCAAAATATCCAGCGGGTTTTGAAATATCACCATTTGAAAATCATTAAAATGTTGACAATGTCATTCCTATGGAGGCACTTTAGAGTGGGAGATCAAAGGGGGTCATGTGACTCACTCTAGATATTTCAGCCAGTTCCATTCTTCAAAATATCTTCAGACTCCTTCAGATTACTTCCACATCCTTCAACTTCCATATACAAATTATACCTTAAAACGTAGGAAAATGTGTCCTCTCTCAGTTAATGTAACTATCAAAGCCTTTAAGCTTTTAGATTTTGAGCTGCGACCTTCAGAGTCAGAGGTATCCTTCAACTTTTACCTGGAAACTTAATGTTAAAAGCTGACCGAAAACTAGAAGACACCAAAAAAGTTTTATATTTTGAATTCGCTCGTTTTGGCACAATTCTGGCTCAATTTAAAAATGAAAAGCACCAACGCGTTCCTTAATCTCTCCAGGCACTCAGGGTATCAACATAATTTTCATGGCTTTTATAGTTTTGGCTCAGGAGGTCAGAATGTGAAGGGAACTTTTGGCGGTTGAACCAGCACAGAGCAGAGCTGCCTGTGTAAGTCAGTGGCTACAGCTTGGGCTGTCACCGTGACAACTGATGACTCTGGGGCAGTCACCATGACAATAAATTACAATGAGTGCCAATGCCAGACTTGTACTTGTGCATGAGTCAGACCGACTGAAAAATGTTTGAATTAAGTTTTTTAAGTAATTATCACAGTTTTCAATATACTGAACATTTGAAGTGTCTTGAGACTATATTTGTTGTGATTTGGTGTTCCATAAATAACTCCACTGTGGTCCAGTCATTTCCTGTTTTATTTTGATACGTAACCTTCCTCTCGTTTCAGGTCTCGTGCACTCCCCTGTGTGTCATCTGTCCGATTGTCTCTCCTGATCGACGATTGTGTTCACCTGGAGTTCCCCTCCCTTCATGTTTTTAAATAGTCCTTGCCTTCACCTCGACCTTGTTTTTTCCTCACGAGATATTTTGCTTTCGTACCTCTTAGTTATTCTGCCTCGTCTCCGAGTGAGTATTATTTTGGTCCTTTGTTCATTGTTTTTCCAGCCTCTATTCGAGCTATCTTTATTTGTTACTTTCCTAGTCAGTCCTCTTTTTGAGTGATTATTATTTTGCACTTTTCCCTTTGTTCTCCCTACAAGTGGGCTTTGATTTCTATTAAAGTTTTGATTACGATCTCCACATCTGAGTCCTGCCTTGAGTACCAGCCTCACAGGCATGCCTTTTCACCCATTTCCTAGTATGCCTGTTTAGTTCGGAATAAGGCATACTCAGCTTTTTTTCTATCAAATGTATTTGTTATTTGTAATTTTGTTCAAAGTAGTCCTGCTCTTCGTCTGGGAGTGTAGCAACTCAAGAACTTTGAGTTCTGCTTCTACTGAAATTACTACTTCTAGAGTTTTTTTTTTTTTCTTGAAGGCTGCATAAGATATTATTCTCCCTCTCAAATAGGCTTTCAGTGCATTTCACCAGGTACCAAGAGATATATCTGCCATTTTATTTGATTCTTTAAAAAATTTAATTTAGCCTGTAATCAGTTTAGTAAATGATTCGTCCCTAAGTAATGATACATTCAGCTGCCACCTACGGCTTTTTTGAGTTTTTGAGATTTTTTTTTACAATGAGAAAAAAACTGCATGGTCAGATTACAATGTTACCTATGCTTGAGTCAACTGAGTTGTTTACAATTGTATCTGATATGAAAAAAAAATCTATCTTTGTATAAACATCGTGCACAGGTGAGAAGAAAGAATATTCTCTGCTATTGGGGTGCATCAGTCTCCAGATATTCTCAAGGCCATTATCAGAACATGACTGTCTGATGGCCATTGCTGACCGGCTTTCTGTCTTAGTGCGTGGTTGCGACCGGTCTAAGTCCCTGTCCCAAATTTCATTAAAATCCCCAGCCATGATTATTTGAGAACCAACTGAATCCAAAAGAATTTGTGATCAATTATTAAAAAAAAAATTCTGGTCTATCTGAATTAGGCGCATAAATGTTCCAAAGAAGTAATTGTCCTTTGACAACATAATTGTACAAATTTCAGTAAAGTGGATAATGATAGACACCCCTCTACTATTGCCTGTTTTCCTATCCAAGAACTCATCCTTCCTTCCATCCATCCATTATTGGTACTGCTTATTCCCTAATGGGGTCGCAGTGGGTGAGAGGCGGGGTCATCCTGGACAGTCCCCAGTCCATCGCAGGGCCTAGCACAAGGACAAACGACCACGCATACTCACTCCTAAAGGCAGTTTGGAGTGTCAAATCAACTTTTTTTGGATGGTGGGAGGAAACTGGAGAGAACCCACAGACACAGGGAGGGAGAACATGCAGACTCCACCCAGAAAGGTCCTGGTTCCCCTGGGACTCCAACCCAGAACCCTCTGGTCCTGGTTCCCCCGGGGACTCCAACCCAGAACCCTCTGGTCCTGGTTCCCCCGGGGACTCCAACCCAGAACCCTCTTGCTGTGAGGCGATGGTGCTAACCACCACACTACCGTACCACCCACTATACAAGAACCTTTAAGTTTCTTTGATTTGGTTAAACGAGTCTCTTGAATATAAGTTATATCAACTTTAGAGGACTTTAAATGTGTCAAAATCTTTTTTCTCTTAACATTATTCAAACCTTTTACATTCCAGCTGGCCAACTTCAAGTCAATTGTACCATCCATCCAAGTTAAGTAGAATGTAACATGTATATTACATCTGCATACAAAGATAAAGATTCAGGCTGGTAGGTTGCGGCATAAGATAAACAATACAGTGAGATATAAAAACATGACACAGAGAAACAGAACATGAACGCTCCCCCTAGAACAAAGATGGGGCGAAAAACAAAACAAAGCAAGGCATAGCCTTGCTGAAAAAGTGGAAAACCTTGTGCGATCATGGGCCCTCAACTTCGCGACCCCTCACCAACTAAGTATCACCTCCTAGTGAATTTTCAAAGTCTAGCATAAATTATTAGAAAAAACAGTACCTATAATAGCACTGTAAAAGAAGAGACCACTCACTTATATGTATATATATATTAAATAAATGTGTTTTTTATTAAGTTGCCAAAAATGTACATTTATCTTCTGAAAATATATAGCTTGATTTATTTTATTTTTATTTTTTTTCCCACTCCCTTTTTTCCTCCACCCTGTATCACGAAAATAAGATAAATAATAACCTGCGTTTTAAACATAAGTAAATCACCCTTTTTCAATCACAAAAAAAAAAAAGTGATTATTTTACTTTCTCCAAAAGTCACATCAGAATACAAGTAGGATGAGTTTCGGCACTCGCATAGGAAGTTTCTGTTCACTGGTCAACTGTCTTTCGGGAATTTCTTTGCAATAAATTCCACTGCGTCCCCTGGTGAGGTGAATCTGTGACAAAGTCTGTTGTGTTTTATTTCAAGAATTGCAGGGAGTCAAAGTGCATATTCCACCTGCCTCTCTCTCAATGCAGCTTTGACTTGGTTAAAAGACATGTGGCGGTCTGTTGTTTCCCTCGAGTAGTCAGGGAAAAACGTCATTTTAACTCCCTACCAAATTATCTGACCTTTCTCTCTAGCGACACAGAGTATTTCTTCTTTGTCTCGATAGCGGAGCATATTGACCGTCACGGGCCATGGGCGCTCCCTCTCTCCCTGGACGCGCCTTGGCGCTCCCACTTGATGTGCGCACTGTATCTCCAGCTCCCAGAACGAGTGGCCCAGCATCACTGGAAGCTCGTGCTGCAGGAACTTTATCATGTCATTCCCTTCTTTGGACTCTGGCAGGCCCATGATTTTACCATTACAGCGTCTCCCTCTTTTGTCTACATTTTCCAAATGGGAACTTTTTCTAGTTCCTCACGAACAGTCACTAGCTCAGTCTCCAATGGTCCTCTGCTTCCTTCCAGCGCCACCACTCTCTCCTTCATGTAATCGAAACGTGTCGTCAATGTTTCAAGTTTCGCCTCCATCTCCCCTATTGACAATTTCATTTCTCTCGTGTCTTTTTCAATGTCCACAGTCGAGTTATGTATTGCCTGTATCTGGGGAGCCAGAAACTCTAGCGTTATTGTCCCTTCACCCTTGGCTGTGGCACTTGAGGTAGCACTGAATGTAGTGTTAGCATGTGGCTAGTCCGGCTCTCTTCGGCCTTTGCTAACATACGCATCCATCCTCCTGTTATATTTAGCCTGTTGCTCGGGCAGGTGATCGTGGTGTTGTATCTTTCCAGTGCTGCGTCCAGGCATAAGTATTTCCGATTCAGTTAAATTTAGAAGGTGTTAGTCTATATATATAACATATCAGCAAAACAAAGTTTGGAAACCCATTAATCTAAAAAGACAGCTCTAAGACATATTTAAAAAACGTAACTTTGCCTCTTACAAACTACAGAACTCTGCTGAAGATCCTGGATAAAGACGAAGTCCCGCATAGAGAGGCTGAGTGAAGGTGGACTGGACTCTGTGGAGGAGAGTCCTGGTTTCAGAGACGCTGTAGAAGGACAGAATACCTGCTCTGGGATCCAGGTACACTCCTACTCTGGAGGAAGGAGGAGCTGAGATGGAGCTTACTATGTCATTGAACAAAAATTTAAAACCGTTTTTATCACAAACTAATGACCAAGATTTGTCATTACATCCAAATACACATTCATCCCCAAAACCTGTTCTGCTGATGTTCTTGTATGCGACTGCTACACTAACTCTCCCTCTCCACTCCACCTCCCAGTAACAACGTCCAGTCAGACTCTCTCTGCTCAGGACCTGACGCCAGTAAGTGAATCTGTCTGGATGATCAGGATAAGGCTGAAGTTGATCAGTCCGGGTCACCTTCCTGTTCCCCTCTGACAGTAACAGGTAACTGCGTGCTGTGTTTGGATCCAGTGTGATGTCACATGAACATTTTAAGAAGTCGGCTCTGCTCTCTGGTTCTGATGTCAGTAAAACATCCGGCTGAGCGGCTGCCAGTGAGACTTTAGTCCAGTCCTGTGTCAGGATGTGCTGCAGTTTGTCTGTGAGCTCTGACACAGCTGCTGTCACATCCTTAAAGTATCTCAGAGGACGCACCCTGATGCTGGAGGAGTGTGTGGACTCCCTGAGTGCTGGCAGTGAGGGGCAGCTGGCCAGAAACTGGATGTGATCCTCTGTGTGTGAGAGCTGCTGCAGCTCAGCGTCTTTCCTCTGCAGCTCAGTGATCTCCTGCTGCAGCTTCTGCTGAAGCTCTTTGACTCCCCTCACTGCAGTTTGCTGCTGGGATCTGACCTGCTGCTCCACATCAGAGCGTCTGTTCTGGATGAGACGGATCAGCTCAGTGAACATCTTCTTACTGTCCTCCACTGTTTTGTCAGCAGACTGATCGATGGCCTCCACCTCCTGCTGGAGCAGCTTCACATCTTTCTGTAAGTCCTGGAGTCTCTGCTGGATTTGTTGCCACCTCCCCTCCAGCTCTCTCTGCCTCTCAGTCCTTTCTGCTGCCGCTGACACCGTGTGGTGGCCTTTATGCTCCTCCACAGAGCAGAGAGAACAGATGGACTTCTGATCAGTGCGGCAGAACAGCATCTTCACCTCATCGTGGAAAGAGCAGATGTTCTCCTGGAGCTTCTTGGAGGGCTCCACCAGCTTGTGCTTCTTAAATGGAGGTGATTCATAATGAGGCTGAAGGTGTTTCTTACAATAAGAGGCCACACAGACCAAACAGGACTTTCTGGCTCTCAGTTTTCTCCCAGAGCAGACATCACAGGCCACATCTTCAGGTCCAGCATAGCAGTGATCAGCAGGAGCAGCTTGGAGTCCAGTCTTCTTCAGGTCTTCTAATAAGTCTGCTAACATGGTGTTTTTCTGCAGGACAGGCCTCGGTGTGAAGATTTTCCTGCATTGAGGGCAGCTGTGAATTCCCTTCTGATCCTCCACATCAAAGTGGGCTTTAATACAATTCATGCAGTAGCTGTGTCCACAGGGAATAGTCACCGGATCCTTCAGGAGATCCAAACAGATCGAACAGCAGAATTTCTGTCGGTCCAGCTGATTTCCCTGCTGCGCCATTTCTCCTCTTCACAGTAACGTCTGAATAGTTCCTGTTTCTCTGAACAGAAACGATCTCACCTGAACCAGGAAACAAGGAGTGTCAGCAGCGTCATGTTACAGCTTGCTGTTCACGCCCATCTGAAACAAGTGACAGGAAAACAAGTAGGGTGTGTTCTACAAAGACAGACATGTCATTTTACTGTTATAAAGAAAAAATTCTCAGCTGTGTTATCACTGCAGGGTTACAACAGGCAGACTTCAGCTTGTCTTTACGGCCTCCTTGTCTCCTTGATGCCACTCTGGCCCCACCTACACTATGAAAGGGCTCATTTGCTGCTGAATAACCCCCATTTACACCTGTAGCTTCAGTGAGGCTCATACATGTGTCTAAAAGAAGGAAATATGGTTAGGAAAATAGTGAAACAGTTCCCGATGGAATCGGGAACTGGGTGCATGTAGGAAAATCTATAAAATGTGTAAGTATGGAACAGTCATTGTATGTGAATGTTGTTTAATAACATCATGTTCTGTATTCATTAAAGTCATCATAATCCTAAAAAAAAACTGAAAGAAAATCAAAAGATTTATCGTGTCCTATTAAAAACGTCCTATTAAAACCGTGCAGATAATTATAACAGAAATAGTTAAAAATGTATTTACTCTGCCACTTTATTAGCAAAAAAAATATCCTCAACATCAAAGTTTTTCTCTTCTTATTATTATTCTGTATGCTTTTTGACGTTTAACTACTTTGACATACTTCAACTTCTTAAAAAAATGAAGGTATACATTTGTTCCGTTTCTTTTGGACGTTGCGGCTGTCTCTTTTGGTGTTGAAACCTTTGGAACTTTTTGAATTGTTTAACTTTTTCTGACTTTTTCCTCTCATTGAAAATTAATGGTGGAGCCTTCAAATTATTAAAAACGTTTGACCTACTTCAACGCTAACTATTTCAGTTTACTTTAAAGTAGAA